ACTTAAACAGCACTTGAAGACTTCCCGAAACTTTCAAGGCAGTTTCTAGTCACTTCCTCTCCTGTGTTCCCATGGCCCCTTGTACAGACCTCTACTCTAATATTTAAAAGCTACATTGTAATTATTTGTTTGCATATCTGTCTGTCTTCATATGTGGTGCAACAGGAAGTGACTATATCATCTTAGAGTTAGCATTCAATAAATATTTAACCTGAAAGAGCGAAGTAATGCCAATAATCAATAACAAAAGCTTATAATCTCCAAATAAATCCGACCAAATCATTAGTCTGGGTATTATTCTAATCACCTGAGTACCCAGAGAGTACTGACTGTGGAGATTGCCTCTATGATATTCTTGTTCAACAAAATTACCCAATACTGTAGTTGGAACAAAAGTTTTAAAGTTAGGAGTTATTACTCCACAGATTAGTAGAAGTTGTTCTTAGAATCCTGATCCCCAGAGGTAGGAGATTTATTTTTATGCAAGACTATGGAAGCTTAGACAACTGCAACTGACATACCAACCCAGAACACCCTCCCCATCTCTCCAAAACCCTTCCCCTTTAAGAAACAAAACAAAAATTTTCTTGTCATTCTACTTTTGACCTTTTTCCTCTATCTTAAAATCTCCCATAAGGAAACACAGCGTTAATAAAAATAAAATAAAGGTTGAGTTTGTTTAAATATTATAAAAATAGTTTTCACATTGCTGAACTTTAGTTCTGTGATTAAGTACAGAAGTTAAATGATAGACAATTCAAGTCACGAGTTTCTAATTTGTAGCCAAGAGTGACATATTAGATATGGACAGCATATAAGATCAACTTATGCTAGATAACAGATTGTGTTACTCACAAGAACAATTCATGATGTAAATTAATTTGCTGAGTACAAATTTCTTTGTTTTTATACCATACTATGTCCTTCTAGTCAAGCTGTTAGGCAATAAACACAGTTATAATAAGCTGTTATATAATAAATACAGTCCTGAAAGAAATACTGCCAACTGACTTATAAGAAATGTTGCAATTGTAAAATGTTATAATTGTAAAAGAGAATATTTTTATTCAGAGAAAGGCAAAAATAGTTTACCAAATTAAATCAAGGTTAACCAGGAAAAGGCAAAGAAATTTACTAGTATCCCAAACCATCAGAATGAAGCAGATTCTGTAACATGGCAATGTTTAACAACAAAATAAAGAGATAACATTTTAATATCATTAGAAAATATTATTTCTTGGATACAAAGGAGGAGTACTGATGAGGAATGAATAAGTTGGTAGAGTGCTTGCCTCACATGCACAAGGCTCTGTATTCAATCCCCAGCACCACAGAAAAAAAAAGAATAACTCCAGATAAGTGCTTGTCGGAATACTCTGTTGGAGAAAGGTGAAACTGATAGAAGATGTAATTGATAAATATAGGACATACCTCAATATGCTGAGAGATTTTGACATCAGAGGAAGTGTTTGAGATGAAAAAGTGAGACATACATAAAAAGAGGGTTTAGATGTGAGATGTCTTCCAAAAGCTCAATGTAAGAAAGTTCACAATGAAATGATTGTGTTATGAGAGCCTTAACCTAATCAGAGCATTAATCCCCTGATAGGGATTAACTGAGTGGTAACTGTAGGCAAGTAGGGTATGGCTGAAGAAGGTGAGTCACTGGGGACATGCCTTTGGGATATATATTTTGTCCTTGGAGGGTGGAGTGCTCTCCCCCACACACACACACAAACACACCCCTTTATGTCTTGTTCCCAGCTGCTTTCCTCCACCAGACACTTCCAACATGATGTTCTGCCCTACCTAAGCCCTGAGGAATGGAACTAACCATCTGTGGACAGAGACCTCTGAAATTGTAAGCTTCAAAATATATTTTTCCTCCTCTAAACTTGTTCTTGTTGGGTCAAAGAAGTGAAAAATCTGACTAAAACACTTTTTTTTATCTTTTTATGAAAAAATACTTGTCTCCCCACTCAGTGCTCCCAAAGTACTATTGTACAAATCTCTATTCTAACATGCAAAACTGGATTGCAATTATTTATATCTCTCTACATATGCAAATAATTACTAATTTTAGGAAAAAAAAAGAGGTATGTATAAAGGAGAAATGATTATAGTATACTAAATGAATCAGATGTATATACTCTTATGCTGTCATAATTGTGTAAAAATTAGACAAAGTTCTAAACAAAATTATATAACTCTTTAGGAAGAATGGGTGGATAGAAAGACACAAAAGAGACAGTGAAAGAGCCAAACATTAATTATCCATGCAGAAAATCAATATATAATTGACAACACTAAAGAATAAATCAAGAAATATCAGTGGAACTATTTTGAAGTCTAAGGCAGGAGGATTCCATGCTTGAAGCCAGCCTCAGCAACTTACTGAGACCCTGTCTTAAAATAAAAAGTAAAAAGGTCTGGGATGTAGCTCATTGGTAGAGCACCCCTGGGTTCAATCCCCAGTACTTCAAAAATAAAAATAAAGAAAAGAAAGAGATACCAATGAAAGCATATTGCTTAGTGACAGAGGTAAATACCAAAACGAAGAGTTGAAAGTGGTGGCCTTTAGGAAGTGAATAGAGGGAAATGAGAGACTTTCATAGAATCAATGACAGGAGACAAGCATTTTTCATAAAACACTATCAGGTTCTAGTTTCAGTACCTGGTTAACACTAGTAAACAGTCAAACAAAAAATTTTAATGAAAGAAAGCAAGTATTGCTATGATTTCTCTCTACTTTCCCTCCTTTGGAGATAGAGGTGAGCAGGATTACGTTTGTGAAAGAGAAAAAACTGAACAACACAGGTAGAAAATTTTGAGAAAGAAGTACTATTGTAGAATGTGAGCCAAACCCAGCATGTGATGCTCAGGGCCACTTTGTTCCTTGTTTTTATTTGTAAAACTGCTATGACCATAAAGGAGAACTTGGGTTCTTTTCAGAGAAAAGAATTGTCATTTCCTGGACATTTGGTGTCAAGTATAATGATCAATGAACCTGATGTCTTAAGGGAAACTTCCAGGCAGGCTTGCTGTGAGCTATTGCCCAGTTGCTTTTATTTATTTCTCTGAAAATATGAGTTCTTTCCTGACTGGTGATTCACATACAAATAATATACAAACGCCAAATGTTATAAATCAAAAGTATGAAATGTTGGTCTGGGGATGTGGCTCAAGCGGTAGCACGCTCGCCTGGCGTGCGTGCGGCCCGGGTTCGACCCTCAGCACCACATACAAACAAAGATGATGTGTCCACCGAAAGCTAAAAAAAATAAACATTAAAATTCTCATTCTCTCTCTCTCTCTCTCTCTCTCTCTCTCTCTCTCTCTCTCTTTAAAAAAAAAAGTATGAAATGAGAAGGATTTTAGAACTTAAACCCTCAATTGGACCATTTTCTGGGCTACAGAAATTTGATAATGTATGCCCTAGAAGCATAAGCAGCTGTATAATCAAGTGAGATGTTTAAAAACTTATACAAAGATAGTAAGGAATTCAACACTTCCCCCTAAGAAAACATTGCAAGGAAATTTTAAAGCAAAAATTCACTAAAAACATAAACTCAATAATAAATACATTTCATTATTTTTTGTAAGGTTTTCTTGTTTAAAATGTGGCAGCAAGCCCTGTGGGGGCTTATGTATCTTTCACTTAGATTTTTTTTTTCAGTTATTAAGATTTTATCACATTTGTATTCTTGCTCTCACTTATCTTTCTCTTTTCTTTCTCTGGTGTGTGGTTTGTATACATACATACACACATGTATCTATTTTTTTTTCTTTTTTTTCCCCATGAAACATTTTGAAGTAAGTTTTATATATATTTTACTTTATCCCTAGAAATATCAGGTAGCACATCCTAAAAATGGTAATATTCTCTTGTATAACCACAATATCATTGTGATACTTGGAAAATTAATATGAATTTAACATCATGTAATATATACACAGTTGATATTTAACCTTTCCTAATTGTCTTTTATAGCTGCTTTCATTTTGTTTTCTGTTCCAGGATCCAATCAAGTCTCACCCATCGTATTTTTTTGTCACATCCCTGGAAGAAGATTTTGATAAGCCACACTGGGTTAACATTGTTATCAGGTGGCATCCTTTTTGGGTAAAACTGAAGACTTCCTAGGAGAATGGATCCAGTTAATTGTGGGTCCAGCTTTTGTTTTGCTGAGGGAATACACAGAATGAGACCAAACTGAATTGGTAAGACAAAGAGGGGGCATTACTTTCTTAACATTGTAACAGTGGTCCACTTTGTGCTTTGGGTAGAGCCCTTGCTACTCTGCCACTGTGACTTATTTTCTTTCTCTTCCTCTCTCCCTATTCCTTCCTGATGTCTCCACCTCCCTAATCTCACTGGTGGTGGTGGTGGGGGGTGTTCTTCCCCATCCTAAGCAGAGTTGTCTGTCCTTGAGCATATACCCACAAAGTCATTCAGACTTGGGATTGTACCACAAGATCTCAAAAATGACTATCTCCCAAATTAACAAGTGAATCATAACTCCAACAGAGAACCCTGGAATGTAGCCTTTGAATCACTTCTTTAAAAGCTCCCTGCTGCCCTTAATGGGCAGAATCACAGCCTCCTGGACAGGAATCCCCTGTATTTCTCTTTTGCTAGCAAAGCATTAAAAGTTCTTTTTCCTTTTTCTCAAATTAGTGTCCTCATTACGGGATTGACATTGGGGACAAGGACAGAGCTTTCGGTAACAAAACCAAAGTTTAGGCATTTAGTTAAAAGAAGCTTGAGAAGACAAAGCGTGTGAGAGTGTGTGTGTGTGTGTGTGTGTGTGTGTGTGTGTGTGTATGTATCCTGGATAGCAACCGCAAGTTTTAGGGAGTCCCAAACTTTTATCATGCTCAGAACACCAAATAATTAAGCTTTTCAAAGATGTTTTGGTTTGACCCTAGGTTTAGGAAAAAAATGAACATTATTTTACTTAGCAATAAATTACCAATAACAATAGGGCACTCAAAATTACCTCTTCTGTAGCTGCTCATCAGACATTTGCAGCTCTTGTTTCAAACGCATATATCTGTCTTTCCTCATCAGCCTAGAACCATCGTAGAGGCTAAGCTCTCGGTCATGGATCAACCTAGTGGGATAAAGGGAATGTCAGAAAACAAACTAGCCAGTTCTGAACAGTGACGTTATTAGAAATAGAAGCACTCGATCAACATTTTAATCATGTCTATTATAGGTTGTAGTTGAGTCAAATTATTTCATTAGATGGATTTTTCAAAATTTCAAGGTGTCTAGTGCTGTTATATTTGGCAAAACTTATTTTCTGTACTAGAGAGCTACAGTCATAACTACTAGATGTAGCCAGTGAGGGGGAGGGAGAGGAGAAGGAGGAGGAAGAGTGGCAAGGAGGTGGAGAAGAGGGACAAAAAGAAACAGCTGAATGAGTATCTAAGAATTACCATAGGGTATATATTACTGAGCAAGGCAGTTGTCACATACACCCGAATCTGATATAACTCTTTAAGGGAAAGTATTATCAAAATATTTCTATCTTTGGAATTAGATGATTTTAAATATCAAAAATCTTCATAATGAAATAACTATACTGCTATTTCTTTTTTTAAGTATTTACTTATTTATTTATAGTTATAGTTGGACACAATGCCCCTATTTCATTTGTTTTTATGTGGTGCTGAGGATAGAACCCAGTGCCTCACACATGAAAGGCAGGTGCTCTACCACTGAGCTACAGCCCCAGCCCCACTACACTGCTATTTCATATACGAATTCTGATGCTGGCCTAGCCATCTACACCAGAAACAGCATTGTCTTCCAGGTGCTGCAAAAGTCAAAAAGCACCAACCACTAAGTCTGATGACACCCATGTTAGAAGCTGCAACATAGTCTCCATTCTATGGGTCTATAATGCAGAGGTTATGGGCATGGGCAGTGGACTCAGCCAGACCTGGGTTCAACTCTAGCTTGGCATTTTACTCCCTGAATGAGAGGGAGTAATATCTCTACATTTTTATCTTTTACAAAATTAAGGCAATAATTTTACAACCTCACAAAGTTCCTATGAAAATTGAATAATATAAAAAATGATTAACAGAGTTGCTCTCAATCTTTATAGTACATTAAGTTCTTCTGGGAAGTGCTTAAAAATGCCAATGTTCAAGCCTCAGCCTGAACCAATTAACATCAGAATTTGTGAGGGTGGAACCCAGGCATCGGTATTTTTAAATTCCCAACCTGCAAAGTAATTCCAAGGTTGAAAACCTGAGAAGCACTGTCTTAAAACAATGTCCAGCACAGAGTAAGTACTCAATTAATGATAGCTGCTGCTGCTGCTATTCCTGCTTAGCTGAACATTCAAGAGACAGTAAATAAAAGGTGACTTTATTTTATTTTTTGTCTACACATTTTTCTCCTTGGAAGATAAAAATATTATAAGTATAAAATATTTATGGTAAATCACTGAAAGTTTGTGATAGTATTTTAAATGTGTTCAAATCTAATTAGAATTAATACATTTGGGATCTTTAATATACTATCTGCATCTTGTCAAGGACAAAAACTTTTTGAATAGTTAGTTGGGGAAATGGCTTATTGCACTTATTTGATTCTTCCCTATAATTCAAAGTTGACAATCAATGTCCAAAAATCATAGAACCAAGAAGAATAAAAAATATCACTAATTACTTTTCTAAAATGACACAGGGTAGAAATATTTTCCACAAAAATTACACATGAAGAGGCTTCTCTCAACACTAAATTCTACAGAAGTTTTAAGAATATGTAAATATTTTTCTCCATCTAAACTAAAATAATTTTTTTAAAAAATGGTGACATAAATTTTCAAGTTTATTACTGCAAAGTCAGCTTTTCTAATCTCTATACAATATAATCAAATAGCTAAAACATTTTATATTAAAGCTACATTTTTCTCTTTCTCAAAAAACAAAGATTCCAACAAAATCAACCAATAATATAGATCCAGATCAATATGGAATTTGTAACTAGTGAAGTTATAACTCTAAAAAAAATACAGAAACTCCAGCTCTGTAATTTGTTGCATATGTAAATCTGCAAATATAAAATCCTTCAAAATTATTGAGAATTTTTTTTCAGCTATGAAGAAAAAAAAAGTTATGGCTATGGCATTTCCGAAAATGTTCATTATTTGGATTTGTGCTGTAATATATCTGAAAAAATAAGTAATCTCACATTCTACTCGGACACAGAAATATGAGCTTTTCAAGATGTAGAAACCCAGTTTAAAAAAAAAAAATGGGAGCAATCCATGTCTGCTGCTTAAGTTGACATGGTGTGTGTCTGCATATTTGTGGGTTTTGGGTTTTTTGTGTATGAGTGTGTGACTCATACAAACCTATGCAATACAGCAAGTGTGCCAGCATTGACCCGGTGAATGCCATCCAACAAGACCAGCTTGCCTTCCAGAGCAGCAGTCACAAGGGGTGAGGACCTCCAGGCAGTGTCTCCATTTGGAAGTGTGTATCTCTGCTGGAGAAGATCACGAGCTGTAATATCCTAAAACAAATTCCAGAAATCACAAAAAAAGTTAATTTTTAAGACATGGATTTGGCCCTCTTTCTGTACAAATTATTTCATATAACAACTGGGAAGTCATCTTCTCAAATTCACTGAAAAGAAAGATTTTCAGAAAGCTTAAGGTTTTCGTCCTATTATCTGTAAGCATGACATAGTAAGAGTGAGGATTTGTTCCCCCTTCTCCTTTTATTGAGCATTTCCTTCTCGTTTAAAAAGTTCATTTAGATAATAGCAATAATTTAATGGAATTTAACTCAGTTCCCCTCCTGCAGGGAGTAAAATGCATTGATTCCATTTTAAAATGAGAGACTATGCAAAGTCAACCTTCAGAGATCCTTATCAAGAATGTGCATTTTCTTGCAGTTGATGAGTTCTCCTGAAAAGCCACTACAGTCCATCACAGTGACTAATTATATTTAAAAGAGGCTTGATAGTGGAGGAAATCTAGGAGGACAGTCATCAGATGAGGTACAAGAATTCAGAAACAATAGCATGGCACTTACAAGCAAATTTTTAAGGTACACATACAATATGCTAGCACTGAAATAGTGTAACAGGCTTACGCAAACTATTAATTGCCACAGTCTGGCTGGGCACAAAATCACGAGCCACTCAAGAAGGAACAAACTTTATTTCCAAAACTCCCGCGAATGCCACGCACGCACACTACCAACAGGGAATCCCTCCTCCGGAATTCCCTCCTACCCCACTTCCCCAATCAATGGGAACTCTCAGGGAGTCCCATGAGAGCTCCAAAGGAGCAGGCCAAGGCAGACAGCAGGGGTCTAATCTCCAATTAAATGCACATCTTAACATAATCATTATCATCTCAATGGCTTGCCGGTGTCACCTTTCAACCAAAAATGCCATGTGTCATTCCTACTTGGCTATGGCTCTCAGCAATTAATATTTATGATATATAAAAATCTACTGTAAAAGATTAGTGCCATACAACATGAACAATTTTTTCTTATATGTATTAAGATAGAAGGCAATAATTTCTTTACTGTTAGCAACTTCAGATACATTTTATGCCACATACATCAAACAAGCTGAACTTTTACAGTCAACATTACACAAAAATTTAAAGTGTTTTGTAAATTCTTTGATAACCACTGAAACTTTTAAGTAGATAAAACATTGATGGAGGTGGACCTGCGACCCCCAGGCAAAACAGGCCCAGCAACCCACGGAGGGGCAGAGCCACCCCCGCGCCTGCAAGGTAGGCGGACCTGCGACCCACCAGCAGAAAAGGCCCAGCGGCCTGGACGCACCCCCACGCCTGCAAGGTAGGCGGAACTGCGACCCACCGACAGAACAGGCCCAGCGGCCTGCGGAGGGGCAGAGCCGCCCCCCCACACACACCTGCAAGGTAGGCGGACCCGCGACCCACCGGCAGAAGAGGCCCAGAAACCCGCGGAGGGGCAGAGCATGGAAGACATATCGCCCCGGTTGGGGGAGGGGCACAGTCGATGGGCGGCTGCAAGGTAGGCGGACCTGCAACCCACCACCAGAACAGGCCCAGCGGCCCGCAGAGGGGCAGAGCCGCCAACCGCGCCTGCAAGGCAGGCGGACCTGCGACCCACTGGTAGAACAGGCCCAGCGGCCCGCCAGCATGGACGACACATTGCCCTGGTTGGGGGAGGAGCAGAGCTGCCGCGCGCCTGCAAGGTAGGTGGACCTGTGACCCACGGGCAGAAGAGTCCCAGCAACCTGCAGAGGGGCAGAGCCGCCCCCACCGCCTGCAAGGCAGGCAGACCTGCGATCGACAGAGCAGGCCTAGCGGCCCGCGCCTGCAAGGTAGGCAGACCTGCTATCAACTGGCAGAACAGCCACAGCGGCCCACTGGCGTGGTAGGCACATTGCCCCAATTGGAGGAGGGGCAGAGCTGCTGCCCGCGCCTGCGAGGGAGACTTTGCAACTATACGAGAGCAATATAAATATATAGGGGGAAAATTCAATAACACAACAGTTTCACCAAGCAGAAAGAAACACAAACAATATGAAAAGACAAGGAAAGAAAGGACCACAAGCAATGCAGGTCAACTCAACGTTAGAAGAGGTAACAGCTGCAGCAGATGGAATGTCAGATAAAGAATTCAGGATATACATGCTTCAGATGATCTGGAGTCTCAAGGAAGACATTAGACAGCAAAATCAGACAATGAAAGATCACTTCGACAATGAATTACATAAACAAATCCAAGAAGCAAAAGATCAACTATACAGGGAGATAGAGGTTATAAAAAACAAACAGAAATCCTAGAAATGCAGGAAGCAATAAACCAACTTAAAAACTCAATTGAGAATACTACCAGCAGAGTAGAACACTTAGAAGATAGAACATCAGACAATGAAGACAAAGTATTTCAACTTGAAAAGAACATAGACAGCTCAGCAAGACTGTTAAGAAACCATAAGCAGAACATCCAAGAAATATGGGAAAATATAAAGAGACCAAACTTAAGAGTCATTGGGATACAGGAAGGTATAGAGGTCCAAACCAAAGGAATGAGCAATCTATTCAATGAAATAATACGAGAAAACTTCCCAGACTTGAAGAATGAGACAGAATCCCAAATCCTAGAAGCCTACAGGACGCCGAATGTGCAAAATCATAAGAGATCCACACCTAGACACATTATAATGAAGATGCCCAATTTACAGAATAAGGAGAGAATTTTAAAAGCTACAAGAGAAAGGAAGCAGATTACATTTAGGGGTAAACCAATAAGGATAACAGCTGATCTTTCAACACAGACTCTGAAAGCTAGAAGATCCTGGAATAACATATTTCAAACACTGAAAGAAAATGGGTTCCAACCAAGAATTGTGTATCCAGCGAAATTAAGCTTCAGGATGGAAGATGAAATTAAAACCTTCCACGATAAACAAAAGTTAAAAGAATTTGCAGCTAGAAAACCATCTCTTCAAAACATCCTCGGCAAAACATTACAGGAAGAGGAAATGGAAAATAACAATGAAAACCAACAGTGGGAGGTAGGACAGTAAAGGGGGGAGAAATAATCAAAGAGGAAAACAAACCATGTTTACTAACATAAATAAACAAATATGGCTGGAAGAACAACCCATATCTCAATAATAAGCATAAATGTTAATGGCTTAAACTCACCAATTAAGAGACACAGGCTAGTAGAATGGATCACAAAACAAGACCCAACAATATGCTGCCTACAGGAGACGCATTTGATAGGAAAAGACATACATAGGCTGAAGGTGAAAGGTTGGGAAAAATCATATCACTCATATGGACTTCGGAAACAAGCAGGAGTGTCCATACTCATATCAAATAAAATAGATTTCAAGCCAAAGTTAATCAAAAGGGATAAAGAGGGACACTACATACTGCTTAAGGGAACCACACACCAACAAGACATAACAATCATAAATATATATGCCCCAAACAATGGTGCAGCTATGTTCATCAAACAAACTCTTCTCAAGTACAAGAGTCTAATAGACCACCATACAATAATCATGGGAGACTTCAACACATCTCTCTCACCACTGGACAGATCTTCCAAACAAAAGTTGAATAAGGAAACTATAGAACTCAATAACACAATTAATAACCTAGACTTAATTGACATATATAGAATATACTACCCAACATCAAGCAGTTACACTTTTTTCTCAGCAGCACATGGATCCTTCTCAAAAATAGATCATATATTATGTCACAGGGCAACTCTTAGACAATATAAAGGAGTAGAGATAATACCATGCATCTTATCTGATCATAATGGAATGAAACTGAAAATCAACGATAAAAGAAGGAAGGAAAAATCATGCATCACTTGGAGAATGAACAATAGGTTACTGAATGATCAATGAGTTATAGAAGACATCAAGGAGGAAATTAAAAAATTCTTAGAGATAAAGGAAAACACAGACACAACATATCGGAATCTATGGGACACATTGAAAGCAGTTCTAAGAGGAAAATTCATTGCTTGGAGTTCATTCCTTAAAAAAAAGAAAAAAACAACAAATAAATGAACTCATACTTCATCTCAAAATCCTAGAAAAAGAAGAGTAAAACAACAGCAAAAGAAGTAGAAGGCAAGAAATAATTAAAATCAGAGCTGAAATTAATGAAATCGAAACAAAAGAAACAACTGAAAAAATTGACAAAACTAAAAGTTGGTTCTTTGAAAAAATAAATAAAATCGATAGACCCTTAGCCATACTAACGAAGAGAAGAAGAGAGAGAACTCAAATTACTAGCATACGGGATGAAAAAGGCAATATCACAACAGACACTTCAGAAATACAGAAGATAATCAGAAATTATTTTGAATCCTTATACTCCAATAAATTAGAAGATAGTGAAGGCATTGATAAATTTCTTAAGTCATATGATCTACCCAGATTGAGTCAGGAGGATATAGACAACCTAAACAGACCAATATCAATTGAGGAAATAGAAGAAACCATCAAAAGACTACCAACTAAGAAAAGCCCAGGACCGGATGGGTATACAGCAGAGTTTTACAAAACCTTTAAAGAGGAACTAATACCAATACTTTTCAAGCTACTTCAGGAAACAGAAAAAGAGGGAGAGCTTCCAAATTCATTCTATGAGGCCAACATCACGCTGATACCTAAACCAGACAAAGACACTTCAAAGAAAGAAAACTACAGACCAATATCTCTAATGAACCTAGATGCAAAAATCCTCAATAAAATTCTGGCGAATCGGATACAAAAACATATCAAAAAAATTGTGCACCATGATCAAGTAGGATTCATCCCTGGGATGCAAGGCTGGTTCAATATACGGAAATCAATAAATGATATTCACCACATCAATAGACTTAAAAATAAGAACCATATGATCATCTCGATAGATGCGGAAAAAGCATTCGACAAAGTACAGCATCCCTTTATGTTCAAAACTCTAGAAAAACTAGGGATAACAGGAACATACCTCAATATTGTAAAAGCAATCTATGCTA